AATTCCTGTTCAATGCTTTCTAAAGACTTTGCATGTATTTACTTCTTTAAATACATTTTTTGCAACTCATAAGAACTCACTGTGTCAGCCAGATGAGCTAATTACACTGCAGTGTCATATAACCTCCCAAACCTTAGTTATTATATATGTAAAGGCTTATTTCTTGCTCATTCTTCAGATCTTGTAGCTAGAAATCGCGCTATACATGGTGTAACATAGAGACTTAGTATAACAGAGGCCTCCACCATCTGAAATATCTCCAGTCACTGTAACAAGACGCAAGTGAATGACAAATAGCACACTGACTCTTTGAAAGCTTTGACTTGAAGTGCCACCCATCATTTTCACTTATATTTTGTCCACCAAAGCAAGTCACATGGCCATGCCTAACTTCAAAGTCGTGGTCAGAAACAATCTCTCCATTTACTCAGAAAGAGAAGAACATGCATCTGTAAACGGTGAAGGATCATGACTGCAGGCACTATTAACACATGTTAATATATAAGAGAACTGAACCATGGAGCAAACTAAGTAAGTACCCAAAGATTGCACAATAATAAAATACAGATTTAAAATACATATTTAGGCTCAAGTCCACATCTTAATCCTTGTTTTTCTACCTCTTTTGATGCAGATTTTTTGGTAAATCTCTGAGCCCTGACATGGCAAATGGTATCATACTAATCATTATCTTCTTGGTGAGAAATTATGATGAGTAACTCAAGCAAGATCTGTACATCTTCTAGTTTAGTAAACAATAGAGCTTAAACTCTCCATTATATTCATTCTTCGAACATTTCTAAAGCACATTGAGAAATTATACATGAATGTAACTATTCATTTGTGATGGATGATTACATCAGTTTCATGGAGAAAGATAAGAAGAAGGAACTCTCGAGCACTAACTGGAGTTAGGAATTTTCTGGAGATTAAAGGGTCATCCACTGGACATCTAGCAGCTAGAGTGACTCACTGCAAATGATCGATAATCTGCCTTTTCTTCCTTTCTTCTCTCCCTCTTCCCATTCTCTCCATCTTCTCCATCAGAAAAATTTATTGCATTCCTGGTAGATGGCAGGTATTAAGAACCGGAGAGATAAACAGAAATAAGATCTATCCCTAGGGAACTCATAATCACAGCTTTAAATCAGATGCGAAAATGCAATGTAAGAGTCAAGGAGACACTCTCAAAACCTTCTGAAATTCAAACTCTACACATATGCCTGATTTTATAGCAAAGGACCAGACTGTAATTTGCCAAGATATGTTAATTACAGTTCTCAGCGTAGGAATTTATTAACGTCTTCTCTACTGCGTAAGACCTTTTGGTTTCATTCACTGGTATGTTTACAGCTGCCATGCACTATCTTTCCTGGCTTTTGTGCCCACATTTGTTTATACTGACACATGGTGCTTATAGCTTGATGCCTGGATAAGATTTCAAGTGTTTTCGCGAAATCACTCAGAATTCTAGTAAAGAGATGCCTTTATACCCATCGGAGAACACTGAATCTTGGAGTCTGTGTTCTTTGGCATCTGTTAGTAAATATCTGACTACCTTCACCAGCTTGAGAGTATACATTGTTTACCTGTGACACAGCAAAAAATATCTCCCATATTTTGTGGGGAAAATTCTGTGTCTGAGTCTCACCGTTCTGAGAGTTGTTTACAGCCAGCTGGTAGAAAGTCTTACTTGCACTTCACCTACAATGGTGCATGAAGAGGACAAATGAAAGTCCTTTCCCCTGCAATATCTTTCCTGCTCATGAAAGTTACTTTTCCAAACTTTAATTGCTAGCGTGATAGCCCATCTCCATTCTCAGTGTCAGAAGTCTTATTTTGGTTTCTTTTCCAATTACATCTTTTTCGAGTGCCTTCTATTTGCAAATTCTGTAGATCCTTCACTATAAAAAAAAAAATCACAGATAACATTGGTGCTATGTTACAGCAACTGTCTGGGGTCTATTTTATCTCAATCTGTGTCTTCAGTTTCTTCTAGAGAAGTACCAGTAGTTGTATATTTTTTAACATGCTATTGGACATCATGGCTATCATGTCATATTAAAAATGCTAGCATTTTGCAAGAAGTTCAAACTGGAAGCAAGGTGGGTTTTTCACATTGTAAATTGTCAGAGATCCTAATGCAATGAAATATAATAAGCATAGTCTCTATTTCAGAACGAGACACTGAGGAGGTGTGACAGAAGATCAAGGATCAATTATTTTTATACCGTATTTTCCTTTCTGGGGATGAAGTACAACTTTCCACATAGTTTCTTTTTCAACAGATGCTATATAATTGTGTTGAAATGATTAATGTGAACAAAGAAGATTAATTTTTAAAAACTATTGCTGTAATAATGCTGCATAAGAGGCCACCTCCCAAAATCCTCAGTGGCTGAAAATATAAAGCTTTTATTTCTCATGTGTTGAGTCTGCAGGTCCACTATGGCAGCTCTACTTAAAATGTCACAGGTTCAGGTTTGCTGCACATTTCTCATCCTGGGACTCAGGTTGCAGGAGCAGCTATGTGGAGCATGCCTTTCTAGTGGTGCAGCGCAGGAATGCCAGTTACTAGCCAAACAATACAAGCAGATTGAAGCCTTGGTGGGAAGTGACACGAGTTGCTTCCCTCGCATTCCATTGGCCAACCAAGTCTCCTGCCAAGCTCAAAGTCAGTGAGGCAGGAAAGTATGCTTCATTCCCAGGAAGCAATGGCCAAGTCAGGGAAGAAAGGTAGCTTGTATTATTGTGTATTATTGCGTATAATACAACCTACCATAATATCAATTATGACTTTGTCTTCCCCACTGTGATCCTTGCCAGTGGAAATTTCTGACTGTGCTTTTCAATGTATGTCAAGAAAACCACATTTATTTCTTCATGTATATTTCTTCTGTTGTTTGGTATATTATTTTCTACTTCCACTAATCTTTCATTCCTTCAAGCTAGATCAAAGAATAGTATGTGTTTCTACTACAATTTATTAGAATTGACATAGAACTACCCAGTAATATGATTCTTTCTAAATAACATTATCACTTCTGTTAAAATAACATGTGCTTCTACCCACTTTGTTTCTAAGTGGGATTACAACTTTTTAAAAAACTATCTTGTGCTTTGGCCTACTTCTAAACATAGGAAAGAAACAATTATTTCATTAAAAACCCAAAGACCCTTTCATTCATAAAAGAGCTATACCTTAATCCTAAATGAAGATTTTTCAATATCTTCTGTATTTTTAAGTTTACTATTCATTGAGTAAACCAAATGTATAGATTATGCCTATCTTTTAAATACTCAATGCAGTTTAACCTTTATTTCTTCAAAATTCTCCTTTCCATAAATTTTGACATGCCTCATATTTGTTGAAATATTTCAAGTATGTTGTCAATTTTGATGGAATTATATCAGCTATAAAGATATTGTAGATATCAGATCTTACATGAAGTAAATGTATTTTGCCAAATAATGCCATCTGCATGTAATGGAAATTTGTTAAGTCACGTGGAAGTTCACAGAATAATAAGTAAAAATCAGTATTCATATTTGAGATCGGTCTAGCAGTTTGTGTTCATTCAAACATCAGTGATGTTAAGCTTACTCAAGGGTCCCAGGAAATATAGTACTGGCAATAATTGGTCCTTCTAATGTAAGAGAGTATAATGTATGTTTAATTCCAACAAAATGGATAATGTGCTGAAAAAAATGTTGAGTTTGATTTTGGGTAGATATATAAAAATTAATTTTATGTAGTAGGGTAATTGTTCTCAGGGGTGAACTTGCCTGTAATGGGGTAGGAAGGTCTCTCTGTATCCCTGACTCCAGGTGAAAGTGAAGCCTCTTTAGTGCCCCCTAGCTGTGTACTCCCTGCTATGGCCGAGTGGCTGGGAACCCAGGGTCTAGCTCTAGAAGCTGAGTGAACCCATCTTTCTCATTGCTGCATTTTCTTTTTAATGACTATTAAGATATTATTTACATATCACAAATGTCACCCATTTAAAGTGTTACCATTTGATATTTTTTGTCTATTTATAGAGTTGTGCAAATATGACTGCACTCTAATTTTAGAACATTTTCATCATCCCCCTGAAAATCTCATACCCATTAGCAGCCATTCCCATCCCTCTCCCACCCTTCCCCAGCCCTAGGCAACTACAAACCTTTCTATCGTTATGTGTTTTCTAATGGTGGACAAATGAGATCTCCCAACACGTGGACTTTTGTGACTGGCTTCTTTCACTAAGCATAATGTTTTCAAAGTTTGTCTGTGTTGCAGCGTGTATCAATACTTCATTCCTCTTTCTTGCCCAGTAATCTTCCATTGTGTGAATATACCACATTTTGTTTATTCATTCATCAGTGATGAGCATTTGTGTTGTTTCTACTTTTTAGCTGTTGCGGATAATTTTGCTGTTGACCTTCATTTGCAAATTTTTGTGTGGACACATGTTTTATTTATCTCAGGTATATCCCTAGAAGCGAAATTGCTGATTCGTGGTAGAGTTAAACAGGATAACTCTATGCTTAACTTTCTGAGAAGCTGCTAAATTGTTTTCTAAAGTGGGTGCACTGTTTTTATCATCCCACCAGTAAGGAACGAGGGTTCTAATTGCAGCACATCCTGGCTAACACCTGTATTGTCTATCTTTTTGATTACAGCCATTTCTAATAGGTGTGAATTGGTACCTCATTATGCTATTGACTTGCATTTCCCTAATTACTAATGATGTTAGGCAGCTTAGGTGCTTATTACCATTCATATATCTTTTTTGGAACAATGTCTACTCAGACCTTTTGCCCATTTTTAAAGTTGAGCTATTTGTCTCTCTATGATTGAGTTGTAAGGGTTTGTTATATGTTCTGGATATGTCTCTTATCAGATAGCATATGATTTATAAATATTATCTTCCATTCTGTTGGTTATTATTTTCTTGACAGTTTCATTTGAAACACAGCAGTTTTGATTATTATAAAGTCAATTTTATTTTTTTTAACACTTTTGCTTTTGGTGTTGTGTCTAAGAAATCATTGTCTAATCTAAGTTCACAGAAATTAACTATTGTGTTTTCATCTGCGATTTTTATGGTTTTAGCTCTTATGTTTAGATTCATGATCCATTTTGAACTCATTCTTGCATATGGATATTCAGTTGGCCCACACCATTTGTTGAAAGACTGTATTTCCTTCATTGAATTATCTTGATTTCTTTGTCTAAAATCAATTGACCATAGTATTTATTTACATTCATTTATTTTTAGACTCCCAATTCTATTCCATTGACTTGTACATCTCCTTATGCCAGTACCACAGTGTCAATTATTGTATCTGTGTAGCAAGTTTTAAAGTCTGTTAGGGTGAGCTCACTAAGTTTATTCTTTTTAAAGATTGTTTTAGCTGTTGTGGGCCCCTTGCACTTTGGCTTAATTTTTAAATCAAAATGCGCAATTCTTTTTAAACCCTTTTTTCTGTTGTTGGTTTGCTTTTTCTCTAATTACACATAGCCTAGTAAGTGATCTCATAAGCTGAATGAGTGTGGTTAGGGAACGGGTTATTGGCTTCTATAAATATGCATCTATTCACATTCTAAAACACCTCCAAGCCTCCCAGCTTTAGATATTACCACAAAATTCTTGCTTAAGGAAAAGTATATATTTGAATTTCATACTTTAATAACCCTAAGATTCAATTCATATAGCAACTTATTTATCTGATGGTACGAAAATATCCACTGAAGCAATAGTTGTAAATTTATATTGGTGTAAACATGAGTAAGTTTGGAAGATCATAAGCCACGTGACATCCTGAGCAGAAAAAGGAGAAAATTTACTTTCAGCCCTTTCCAGTATTCTTGCCTTGAACTTTTAAATATAAAACTTATTTTGTGAACAAAAGCAACCATTCCCCTAAAACCAGAGAAGAGCAGTAATGGAACAGATTCACAAAACTGGGGAAGTGCTCGCTTATTGTCATGCTTTGTCCAACAGTCATGGTCTTTTCTTGGATCTGAGTTTATGTTGGTGCAGAAGTGCTGTGGAGAAGCTTTCATCATGGTCATTGCCCTAAGAAATTAAAAAAAAAAAAAAAAAAAAAAAAACCGTACATTTCTATCTTTAAAGTTGGAGGATTTGCACTATAAAACACGGAATTTATTTTCAGTATCTCTTTTATTGCATAATTTGTTTTTCATTTAGATTGTGTCCTACTGCAGATTTGTTAAGCCAGGTTCTTTTCATCTGTCTTTTCTTTTCCTGTTCTTAATAGGTATGTGAAATTTGTCTGGGTGAATATAATTAGCTCCCCTATCCTTATGTAAGTCTTTTTCAATGATAGATTTTTAAGAAATACTTCTGGAATACGTAATAAACCTTTTGCAAATAATCATTCTTTGATGAGAATTTTTAAAGATGATGCTTCGAGGGCATTTGAAAAACAAGGTTTTGTTTTCATTTTTTCTGACTCAGGCCTGTTTATGATACCGTTGCCAGAAATGTCATAAATCTCAAAAAGGCCATTCTTGCCCTAAACCAACTGACCTTTCAGTGCTGAATCCTCAGCTACCTCAGGAGTTCTACTGGACCTCACTGCCGTTTTCTGAATAATTTATGTGATTTACAGTGCCTTGTAAAAAGCACTGAAACATCTCTCTGTGTGACTCGTTTGCTTTTAATTTATAGTGACATCTTTTCATAGTAGTGGAACTTGCTGAAAAACTTTTCTGAAACATTATGTTTTTCATTCATACTCAGATCATTGTGGCTTAGTTATCAGTGACCTCAATTTCTGCTCTGCTGTTTTTCAAATTAAAAACTGCATATGGGCAGTCTCTTCACAAAATCACACATTAAATAGCATTACCCATAGATCATTATCCTGTGTGCACTCTGCCATTACCAATGGTTACCTGACCTTTAGAATTAAGGAGAGCATTATGAGCAACTACTGAGATATTAAAAGCTGTTGTATTATTAGCATTTCTTCGGGTCAGCTGGAATGTTTACATTGCAGCTATGCTGGTGACTCGGAGAAGGACGTGTGTGGTTGGCAAGTGGCCCTTGTCAAGTCTTCATGACGGTCTGATAATAGTAAAGAGAAAGTACATGAGGAAAATACTATCCGGTTCAGTGAGATAAGCATCTGCAAAGAAGATTGAGCCCATAGGAAGTGGTGTGTCCTCCAAGGAACATGAGGAGATGCAGAGGGCCAGCAGGATGGGTACCTCGGCATTGACATTAGGCAAGGCAACCAGGAAAAATGCACGGGACCATCAACTGCACAGGGAGAGGCACATACATTGTTCGCAGAGAAATTCAGGTGTGTGGGTTAAGCAGAGCCAGTATGCATTTAAATAAAACTTTTCTAATCAGAAGCCTAAAATACATGAATTAGATTAAATCATATTTAGTCTTCTTCTGAAGGACAATTGTTTCTCCTGTTTGAAGTATATAATTCTGATGATTTCATGAATGTAATTATCAGCAAAAGTGATTGCATCAAGAACCTAAGAGCCTTGTATGTTTCACCACAGAATGGGGATTTTGTGTGGAAGAAGAAATGATGTTGATAAGATGGTGTGTATTTATTGACTATTGTTTAGCAAGGTGTTCAGTTAGCACTCAATAAATATTAGCTATTCAAGTCATCATTGTCACTATGATTGTTTTCTTCCAGCTGATGATTATAATTGTGCTTGGTCAAGTTTACGTTGATTTGCATGAAGCTCTTCATTAAAGGTGATAGAAATAAAGAACTCCTTCACATCCAGCATATTGCCCCATACTTCCCTTTATTTTAGCTGTTTAAATCACAAATTGTCTTCAATTAACTTTGATTATTTTATAGCAATCACTGGAACAGTCGTCAGAAAATGTAGTTTCTAGTCCTATTCTGCCTCTCACTATTATGTGATCTACAGTGAGTCTTATTATTTCTGAGCCACAGTTAGAATTGATGTCTATGAATCCCTTTCTTTTTTCTTTTTTTTTTTTTAAATGGCGTCTCTCTGTTGTCAGTCCGGGCTGGAGGGCAACGGCATGATCTTGGTTCACTGCACCTCCTTTTCCCAGGTTCCAGCCATTCTCCTGCCTCAGCCTCCTGAGCAGCTGAGATTACAGGTGACTGCCCCCAGGCCAAGCTAATTTTTATATTGTTATTAGAGACAGGGTTTCACCATGTTGGCCAGGCTGATCCCTAAGTTCTCACCTCAGGTGATCCACCTGCCTTGGCCTCCCAGAGGGCTGTTATTATAGGTGTGAGCCACTATGCCCAGCCTATGAGTCCCTTTTATATCTAATATTGTATGGGGTAGCTCAAGGGGCAAAATTGCAGGAAAAAAGCATTATATATATTGCATTCACGTTTAATCTGTCCTTGGAAGTCACCTCACTTCTGCCTCAAGCAAGATCCACGTCTTGTTTAAAGGTGTCATTTAAGGGTAGCACTGCAGGCTGCAGAAACTTCCATTGCATAGTGTCAGTGTTATGGATATCAAACATTTACTAAGGATAAAAACGTGACTTAGCCTACTCGGAACTGAAATTGAACTTTTAGAAGCTATTCTACAACAGAGACATAGATACCTGTTGTCTTCAAGCTAGCTTTTACTATTTGTAGTGCCTTTGACCTTCATGCGAATTCTGTAGCAAATATGGTCAAACTCTTTTTAACTGTTTATCCCTGGGCAGTACCATCTGATATGAGTAGTATTCCATCAAAACGTGTTTTTTTCCTGAGGAAGACTGCTGTAATACATCATCAGCATGACAGCCAGTATATTACATATTACTATAAAACATCCCCAGAGCAAAGGTACATGTGATGATGAATTATGCTAATATGTTATTGTCATTATGTTATCAGCATTCAGAGAGTGATTTAGTGAGATACATCATCAGTGAAAGATTATCTGATTTTATATTACTCAAAAAATGACACCATCATGGAAAACCACAAGCAGATTCATTTGATTAATAGAGTTAGTGATATTCTAGTGCCAGAGCTCATGTATAGCGGTATATTAAAATGTCCTTTGAAACTGAAAACAAGTTAAAGAAAGATGAGTCCATGAGGTGACGTTGTAAAAGCACTGTCAATTTAAATACTATTATTGAAGACGGAGTGGATATAAACCAAAAGTCACCCTTGTCTTTTATTCAAACGTTTGACAGTGATTTAGTTCTACTTAATTATCTGTAAGCCTGATAACTTCTTCCAAGAAGCTATCTATTGTAAGACCACAGGTTATGCTATAAATCTACAGTCTACAGGTGACACTTTATTTATTTATTTAGACAGAGTCTCGCTGTTGTCAGCCTGGGCTGACTGCAATGGCATGATCTCGGCTCACTGCAACCTCCACCTCCCAAGCTCAAGTGGTTCTTCTGCCTCAAACTCCTGAGTGGCTGGGACTACAGGCATGCACCACCACGCCCAGCTAATTCTGGTATTTTTAGTAGAGATGTGGTTTCACCATGTTGGCCAGGACAGTCTCGATCTCTTGACCTCGTGATCCATACGTCTTGGCCTCCCAAAGTGCTGGGATTACAGGCATGAGCCACCACGCCCAGCCCAGGTGACACTTTATAATGATATGCATTAATGCTCCACATCACTGAGCCAAACTAGACGTATCACTAAACTTTGTTGTTGAGCGACAATTAATTTATTCAGGAATTAAACTGATCACTTTTGTTACAGCATCTTCTTTTGCATAAAACCTTGTACACATCAGCCACTGAACAGATATTTGCCAAACTGAACTGATGATTTTTCACATAACTTTCTATATTCAAAATCACAGAAATCACAAGTCTGTTACCAAACTTAAATTAGAATAGCCAGACACCATGGACTGCAGATAGAAAACAACTTCATTTTCCCCAACACTACTTGTTCCATCAGGGGAACAAGTAATTCTCATAAGCTAGTAATTCTGCTTTTTGCCACTGCTCTCTAGCTAAGGGCTGAGACCCATTCACAGTGTAAGGGGCGATGAGAGAGAGAACAGAGCAGGATAGATCCCACTCGGTTGGTGCTCTCTCGGTCCGGCACTGATGTCCTCTGAGCTTGCTGAGTAATTAAAACTGACTTTTTCTCTCGTGGAATTCTTTCACAGATTCTTTGGGGACCTCCTCCCAAT